AAAAAAGAAATTTCATGCTGTTAGTGTGTCGTTAGTGCTAGTCGATTATGTACATATGCGACTGGGACGATAATTGTTGATTGATAGATTGAATTATTTGTTGTTAGCGACCTTTTTCAATACATATCATTTAACGTTTCAACGGCGTTAGTTCCATTGATCGCTTTGTTTGTTATATCAATAGTATTCACTTCATAGTACAGCAGATATTTTTTGTGGAAACAAAATAGTGTTTGATGAAGTGATGTTTGATGAAGCAATGATCCATGTGTTCAACTAACAGCCTACCTACTCTAATCAGTTGTTATTGTTGCGGCTGTCTGATGGTATATTGCATGGAACAAAGGTTGAGCATGAATGGATGAGATGAGCACTGTCACCAACTTCTTAAGATGAGAAGTCGATTTGATCGTGGTTCTACGGTTTCCAATAATCTGTGATACGCCCGTAGTTTATGTTTCACAGTTGTTTCAGATGTTGCGCCGATCAAAAATGTGTGAGCTCACTAGGTGGGAGATAAATGAAAATGGAATTTCGATTCAGCTTGATGCAAGTGAAAGCAATTGATTTAATTAGTAAAGTTCTTACAATTTCAGTGTCCAGATTTGTTACGTGAAATGGTGATTAGTGCCTCACTAACGTTAAGTATCATATCAGTGGCGTTGTTGGTTTCCACACTAGTGCTCTTCACAATATTCGATTCGATACAATGCAGACGGCTATCAATACACAAAAATCTGGCAGCTGCATTCGTATTCCGTTTTGCGGTATTGGCCGTTTGGACAATTGTACAAACTTCGAACGTCTTTCAGGACTGCAGCTCCTATAATCCAGTGCCTCGTTTTGAATATGTGCGTATATGCTCATCTTTTTAGCTTCTCACAGTGAAATCATAAATTCGTCTCTGTATGAAAAGCTGGATGAATGAATAGGTGAAAACTAATCACCACGATGATAGAATAGTTAATTGTGGTGTTCAGTAAGAATGAGGAGTATAAAGAATGTCGATTTGATGGATCCAAAGGGAAATGAATGTGAACATTTACAAATGTGAGAATGGATGACTTTTTATAAGCATTTAGTAATGATCGTTTGATATACCGAGTAGATAAATATGTTATATGCATCAACCGATTAGATAATTTGATTGACGGATGAATAACAAATGCTTGAGTGTGTCCTCTTTTAGCAAAAATAATCATAGATCAAACGTCGAATGTCGCATTTATTTATCATCCTTGATGAATTCATGAATTTCATTCACTAATCCATGCATTCATTCATCATCACATTGATGTTCGATTCAATCTACGATAAAGATTCAGATGATAGCATTAATGAATGGGAAGTGTGTTGAGTGAGTCATCATTCTCTAGGAATTTATTTACATTGATACGCATTGCCCAGCGGCGTTAAAGCACTTCTCTAATACAATGAATATAATAGTGAAGTGTGTAAAACAACTAATTTCTATATATCATTAATAATATTAAATGTTATGGAATGTAATGTTAATATCGGTAATACATCCTATATTGTACGATACGTGGAATATATCTTTTACTATGAGATCTACAAAAACTTTTTCATTCAGTGAACATAGTCATTTTAGTGAACACTATAGTAATGTTTCCATTTAGTTATTTCTTCGTTGTTTTTATGAAGCTGGATTGATTTGAGCTGATCAGATTTGAGATCGGGACCGTACTATAACTATTACTGGCTAAAAGAGTTTTTCTATAATCTGCTTGATTAATTGGATGAATGGTCTGTTTCCAGACAGATGAAAAGATGATGCTAGAAACACAATGAAAAGTACAGTTTGGGTGAAAATATTTCAATTTCAGGAGTGGATTTGTAAGCTATTACTTTGGCTCGTCATTTATTTTCAAGTAAGTGTTTATATTATAGCAGATAAACACGTATAAGCAAGCATATGAATATAGGTTTTAGGTGCACACGCAAATACCTATCTGTATAAAGATGATACAATCAATTTTGACCGAAATAATGCCTTGATGCATATACCCGCATCACTAGAAGTAAAATCATGTGATGTTTGCAAAAGAAATCAGTTTTTATTCATCATGCTTAAAGGAGAGAAAGATTACCAGGAAATACCTGCACTCTTTTACAGTGAATTTGTTAATTTTGATTTGATTCGATATTTTGCTGACGAGTTAGTTGTATGCAGTTTCGTATTGTGCGATTACTATTTTAGATACGCAACAAATTAATACGATGCTATATTCATTTGTTAATAACCACGAATGTGAATGTGGTGTTTTGGCAATTAATGTGCATTCGATAATTACACTGTTCATTCATTTTGTTATTAATTTCAGGTTGCCTCCGTGATGTGGATGCTAATTGAAGGCGCATATTTGTATAGTCGTTTTACGATATTCGCAATGCGACACACAGAACCACCCTATTATGCATACTTATTATGTGGATGGGGTAAGTGAGAAGCAAAATTTGAATTTTTTTGTTGCTCTGATCAGAGGATTCAATTCATAGCGTTATTATCAATATTATTGTTTGCTTTAGGAGTACCGTTTATTGTTGTGTTGAGTTGGACGTTTGTACATCAGTATCGTTCAAGTCAAAGTCATAATTCATTTTGTTGGTTGCCTTATGCACAAGGACATCATTTATGGATTCTTGCTGGTGCAATGGGCTTAGCTCTTATCGTAAGTTTCACGATAGATAGATAACTAGGTATTCGGATCGATGGCCGAATGAATGGCTGAATATACTGATCCTAGATTTTAACTTATTATTTTTCATTTCTTTATGTCACGCGTCAATGCTTCATTCCACGTATCTAAACGATTCATCTTGTTTACAGCTTAATTTGTTATTCCTGTTGGGTATCGTGATCATTTTGGTGCAAAAATTAAGAGCCGAAAATACAGCCGAATCGAAAAAAATTTGGTAAGTGCTCATCGTTAAAACAATGTGTTTGATTCACTAATAAATGGTGAATTTAAAAATGGGGCGTTTCAGGCGAACAATCAAGGCAACCCTTTTACTGGTACCCTTACTTGGTGTTTCGAATATTCCGTTGTTTTACGAACCAGCTGAACCGAGTAGTACATACATGCTTGGATCGGCGATTCTTCAGCATTCACAGGTTGTTTGCAATTATTTTCGTATGCTTCTTTCTTATCTTATCGCTGCTATTTCGGAATTATCTGTGTGGTGTGAAATTCGTTCAGAATTACAGCAAAGACATTGCATTGTCCTATTAGCGCGTTACCGTTACTTTCTTTATTCATCCTCCACTTATCAAACTCTACATCATTTTCCAAATAAACAAATCCGTCAAATGGCCATCTGTTGGCTTGCTTGAGTTTCCCTATTTTCAGACCACCCATAAAACATACTTCGTTTGTACCTTGCGTTGATTATGAACAATGTCTTAGTGTGCAGGAAATGAAAAAAATAATTATGTGCATATGTATGTACATCCGCTCTATCTTGTTCCAGGGTATATTCATCGCGGTATTATATTGCTTCTTGAATAGCGAAGTGCAAAATGCGATGAAACGACAATTTTCCAAAGTCACTTTGCACTTATTTCGGTATGTTTATCAATAATCAATAAGAATATAACAGTCTATCAACACGTGCGCGTTGGAAAAGTAACTTCAACTAAAAGTTTTGTTGTGGCAGTCGGAATTAGACTTTCGTAAAAAACAAGTCTCCTTCCTTTTCTGAAGCTTTTCAGGTCAGGTGTAAACAACTGAAACTAATAGCAAGCGATTTTCCATCAGTGCGCCATCGAATCTTTCCGTTTGTGTAGAAACTGATCGAACAATTTAATCGAAATCATTCATTTAATCACTTTCGTTCAGTTTATTTTGCGTTTTCAGTCGACGGGAAAGGTTCGAAACTGAGCGAACCTATGTACCCGATATTGGAAATCGTAAGAATCGTCAAATTGGCGTGCCAATGGAAGAACTAAATGGGTTGAAAAATGATTTTACCACCGCTGCTGATAATAAAAACAATCGCATTCATAATAATAGTAATAACAATAATAATAATCAAAATAATAATGGTAATAGCAGTCGCGAAGGACATAGCGATGATGGTGTCATACAAAAAGTTGATAATGCAATAGAGTGATGATGAGAAAAGGTGAGAATGAAATTATTAATGTTCTATTCTATTCTAGAAGAAGGAAGATAGTACATGAGAGATTGTATGAAGAGCAAGATGAAATATCAGTGACTACGGTAGAACGAACGCTAGCAGTTGATCGACATATAAAATAGTTTGATGAAAGAAGAAAATTATCGTCAGCTGTTTGTGATGAAGCGGAGGAGAAGAGTATGGTAACGACAATTCACTTGCGAACGTTATCATTATCATCATGATCGGACTAAGATGAATCAAGAATCTGGCGACGAAATCAATTCAAATCGCATGAATGGATGGATGGATGGACGGCTGGAATCGGACTAGTAACTATAAAAAAGCAGCAGCCTAATCAGCCGACCTATCACTGAACTCTGATTTGATTATCATTGTCACTTTTAATTGTCAACGATCAAAATTTTATTGCAATAGCCAAAGTAAACATAATATTGGTGGGCTTGCATTGACGACAAGTGAAGCTTTTGGATTGTGTGCTGGTAGGGGATTTCGAGTGATTATTTTTACCGCAAAGTTATCATTCAGTAATATTGCTGTTACAGTCATTATTGTTAGTAATTTTATTGTCTAGTCAATCATTATTATATGTACATATTACCACTGAGATACGTTCATTCATGCATGAAGTTTACTATTATTATTATTATCATAACTGTGTATTGTAATATTAAATTTTGTATCGCTGCTTGCATTGCAAATTATTAATTGAATAAATAAAATATGATGGTAAGCATTGAATAAAAACGAATCATCTAGTATGAATAAATAAAGTGTTCACGTCTGATGTAAGCGAGTACTGTAACAGATAATTGTTGAGAAGAGGTAGGATGAAACGGGCTTTCAATCGAAGATTTATTCGAGGCGGTTGAATCTTGCAGTATCATCTCAAAATCGACGATGACGATGCTGATATGTACGCAAAAAGGGAACATTATTATCATCTCCACACCTTATCGCATCATTTTCTCAACTGTATGTATATACGAATACTCCGTTCTTTTGTCCAGCCTATTACTTGCCTGCTAAATGCATAGGTTCAGCTGTTGTGATTCCATTGAGTGCCCACCATTCGGTACTACTGGTGGAGAAATTATGGCGGATAACGGTGGCATAGGCTTAGGTGGCATGTGGGGGGATAATGATGGAACAACAAGATCAAGAGATTGTTGTTGTTTTTGTTGTTGTGGTTGAAAACAAAAGTGTTGAGTGGTCGGTGTTGTGATGTGATTTGCAATGATATGCTGATGATAATGATGATGCTTTTGCTGCAGCTGCTGATATTGTGGAGAGTAATCATGATGATAATAGTAATTATGATTATTGTGAATATGATTGTGATTATGATGCGTAGGAAGTGGTGTCGAATAGCTGCCGAAAGGCACTGCTGATGCGGCAGATGAGCACCACCGTGACAACAGTGATGAGGGCGACAGAACGGACGAAGAGGACGGCAAATAGAAATCGCACTCTTGTGATAGCAGTGACAGCGGTAAGGCTGAATTGTGCCCTGCATCATTATCGTTGTTATTAGGCGACTTTGAATTTATTTGTACTGATAGTGATGCTTCCGCAAATCGCTTTTGTTCAGCTGTTGCTGCGGTGTGCATTACATCGGTTAGTGTATTGTTTAAGTTTGAGTTGAGGTTCGAGTTCATTTGATTGTGGCAAGCAAGAGCATGGAGCTTATTGTTGTCAGTGCAGTGTTGCTGATGGGTACTGTTAGCGTAGACGATGAATGATGAGGGCAATTGGTGATTGCTTGTGCTCATGAGGGGAGGTGATAACGAACACGAAGGGGAGACTGAACAGCATAATGGGAATAGGCTCGAAGTTGACGAATCACTGATAACAAAATTGTTATTCTGGTTGTGGTTGGGGTGATCTTGAGTAGAGCATTCATATTCACTGTTATTATTGTTGGTGTCGACAACAACTGAATGGTTGTTCATAGAGGCACGTGAAGGTGACAGCAGTGGTGAAGGCTTTTCTTTAATGCTGTGATTGTCACGATCTCGAAGCTCTTTTCGACGCCATTTAGCACGTCGATTCTGAAACCATACCTGCAGCGAAACGGCTATTTTACATTAGCAATCAGTTAGTCGTTCAGTTAATTCCTCCATCTCTTTATTCATTCGATTCGTCCACTTTGTTTCCGAAGCAAGCAATTTTAACTTGGAGCTAGATATTAGACTTTTATTCAAAACAACTCCAGCATTTTGTTAATAACAACCTCAGTGTTTTGTTTTTTGCCTGATAAGCTTCTTCTGGTAGGAAAGAGAGAATTAAGATAACTCAATTATATCTAAATCAATAAAAGTAAGCTTTCACCGTAATACGATCTTCGGGAATGTCGAGATGCATTGAGAGAATGCGTTTAGAACTTTGATCTGGATAATGCGATTCTTGAAATGCTTCTTCAAGTGCAATGCTTTGCCTCTCAGTGAAATTCGTTCGAAATCTTCTTCGTGTACTACCACTAATTTTATCGTCGGCTGAACAAGACGGAAATCAGTCCGAGCACCAGTGAATTTCTGGATAGTAAGAGCAATAGGTAAATGAAACCAACAACAATGGTAGTACTTTTGACTGCTGAGAGAGTAAAACGGTATTTTCGAAGGGTAAAAGAACAAAGTAAATAACATAATGAAATTAGCGCCTACCAATGGGTTCAATATGATGCCGATTATTAATTTCTTCAGTTGTGTCTTGGTTGGCAGTGCAATAGGCTGAATGAGTGTTATCATTATGGTTGTTAGTGTTTTGTTGATGTTGTTGCTGATGTTGTTGGTGAGCAAGTTGTTGGTCTGTCGCAAAGGGGCAATCATTCATTTGATTATGGGGATAATGAAGCTGAGGATTGCATCCAATAATCGGCATTCTCTTCATTTATTCCAGGCAAGTTCTGAGAGAATCATTAGAATGATTGATTGATACATAATATGAAGTTAATAGTTGCACTATTATTCGATAATTGGATAAGGAATTGAAGATTTTCAGAACAATAAGAAATTGAAGATTCTTTGATAGATTCGATCGATTGTTGATATCAGTGAGAAGTGAACAAAAAGAAATCAAGAGTAAGGTCATAGGAAGAAGAGGAGGAAATGATTTTGACGAACGGAGAATGACCGGTTAACTGTAAGTTGGTGATGAAAGCAAAATTGACTAGAAGTGAAAGGTTTAAAGATCAGGTCAGATCTAGCTTGAAACAAAGTTATTGTTACAGTTGAATCTTAAGGTGAGAGAAGATGAAATTTGATGAACCTTTTGATAGCGAATTAAGTTGATAACACTGATAATGATAATGGCTGTGATGTTGGCGGATGATAACAGAAAGAAGATTAGGCTGAAGGCTGTTAATAATGTTAGCGCAGAATAGGTTTGAGTTAAGTCGAATGAAATTGATGAGGAAAAGTACCAGTGAAAACCACTGCCGACTAACCTCAGATCGAGCAAACCAGTCTAAAATTCCAATTCGACTGAATCACATTACAGCTCCAAAAACCTCAACCTTAGCCCCAAACTAACCGACCATAGCTCTAATCTTCCCTCTCCTTCTCCTTCTCTAAACATCAACAATAACAACCAGAACAAGAACACAAGTGGTGACCATATGCCGTAAATGCTATAATTAATGTCAAATTGATCGTAATACCCTCATCAAAACGCCATCATTTCCATCCAATACAATTTAACTCGGTTTCATTCCTCTCCCTTAATGTATTATGTATGCATATATATGTATTACATACGTGCGTTAGTTAATATTTACGCAAACAACTTAAATGAAGTGGTTCGTATTTAAATTCATTTCAGTGCACAAGTCTTAATAATTCAATAGCTCTTCACAATTTACATCAACTTCAGTTTTTCATTTCCATCGTCTTTAAATAAATATTATTAATTTTTTCGTCATTCAGCGAAGTAATCGTTTCCATGATTTCGCTTCAAATTCCCAGCTTCCTTTGTCACTATCCTATTGATTTGAAACTATGAAATATGACATTAGCAAGACTAATGCTTAAGTTATGCTTTCTATCAGAAAAACGTACAACTCTTATTGCTGCTGACCAGTAAATTGTTCTTCATCTTGCTGATTCGTGCAAATGGACTAAGACTGTGGTTACATCGGCGATCTACCTCCCCAAAATGGTATAGGATAACCTATATAATATGGTTGATTGGCTGCCCTATATATATGAAAGTTTAATATGACGGTTAATTTTTGCGGTTTATCAAATTTATTGCAATATGAAAAAGGAAAACATTTTATTATGATATTGAAATCATTTCAGACAGTTTATCGGAGAATTGGCGCATTAAGTTCTATCACATTTGAACGGTTTTTGCATGTGCTGAAATGCAGTGAAAATAGCAATAGTGACAATCAAGTATTCGTTGTCGTAAATATTGTTAGAATGTTCACTATTGCAATCACTAATCGTATAAAATTTATTGCATTATTCGTTCTCATCATGACACTATCACCTTGCTATGCTAATCATTCAGTAGTCCATCGATTCAAACTGCTCCAGCCAATCCGAATTGATCACGTTGTGTAATGAAAGTTACCACGTAGCATCCGTAAAAATGCCGATCGAAATTGTCTGTTAGCGAGAGCATATGCGAATGGATTACCACTCGAATTTAAGTAGCACATGTAATAACTGAGCGTATAAATGGGCGCCGGAATGCATAGTCCACGACAAAACCCGTATATTGTGGCCTGAAGTCTGTCTTTTCTTATCATTTGTTTTCATCTAAGGCATCTTTCAGTTGCACTTTTTTGAAATAAACATTGGTAAATATTTTGGAATCTGACACTTATTATAATGATAAGTAACACTAGCAGAATATAATATTAGTAATGGTAATAATAATAATAATAATAATAATAATAATAATAATAATAATAATAATAATAATAATAATAATAATAATAATAATAATAATAATAATAATAATAAATC